AAGAACAGTAACCAATTTGGTATAAAAAAAATATTGGAGTCTGAAGGGTTTTGGAAAAATGCCTGTTTTAGTTGTTTAAAAAACACAAACAAACCAGGAGACTAGATGGCTCAAAAATGAACAACCAAAACTTTGTTGAACTCACCAGCCTTTGCCCAGAACAAAGACTCAGCATGAAGATTACAGCATAGAGAATTCCATAGGGCATTTGTCACATGGGGTTTAAGTTAGAAATGGACTGAGTGTCCCCAAGCAGCCACAGCAGTGTCAAAAGGGCAGGATGTATCTTATCACCAAAAATGGTTTGAGGTTATACAGTAGAAGATACCTTTTACTACCCAGAATATTGTTCCAACATCAAATCATTACTGGATGACATCATGTTGAACAGCCCAAGTGAAACAAGATTGTCCTTGCTAAGAGTGTGCAGGAGGCTGGAAGGAAAGCTCTTCCATGGAATTACAATAGTATGCACTGTTCTGGAAGATAGGATGGCGTGGAGTCCTATGAAAGGACAGTGGCTCCTTCGCAAGAGGATCAGTAGGAGTAGCCGCTGATTCTTTTACAAAAGAGGAGGGAAATTCTGTAAATACCACGACATCTAAGTTTGATGCATTATTGATCCTTTAGTGCATCTGCTACCAGTGCCTCCTTCCTAGGTTTTTGGGTGAAGCCACAGGGAGGGTGTGGTAGACTGGGACAGAACACGTGGATTGAATGTTCCAGATGGCTTGCCTGTCTCATATACTGCCTGTGTGAGACTTTGCTTCATCCTTATGGTAAGTATCCCCTAAAATTTATGGGAAGGTTTCGCAAAACGTTGACCCTCCAGGGTGTTTTCAGAACATGGAAGGAGACTGCCCCATCCTTCCACCTACAGAGCAGCTGGTAGATTTGAACTGCACACCTTTAAAATTGCAGCACAGCTTCTTACTGCTTGGCCACTCGAGCTTCCTGTAGGTCCTATAAGGCATTTGGAAATTTCACTATCTCGGGTATAGTACCATCAGACAAGTTTCCAGAAGGTCAGAAAATCAAAATCTTTCTTTAAAAGAAAAAAAATGCTCTGTAAATGCCCCAAATGTAGATTCATAGATTTTCTGAACAATTCAGTTACTTATAGAAAAAAAAACAAAACACAAACCCACAAAACCAAAACGTAAGCACATTGTACTCTAATAGGCTACTTTGTTTTGGCCAACGGAATGCTACTCATTTATTTGGGGATTGTATTTAAAAAGAGAGAGAGAGCGCGCGAGAAAGAGTGTGTACCAGATTGTTACTGAGGTTTTGGAGCTTTGCCAGAAAGTCTCAATACCAATCACTGTGGAAAACGGCTCCCTCACGCAGCAGTGGTGTGTGAGACTAAATGTGTTGCAGTTAGCACAAAGTTGGAAAAACATACAACTGCCCTAATGCTCAACACATGGTACCTTTGTGTTCAACAATCCTTGCTTAAGAATAAACTCAGTCACTGGTGTCAAGTCAGTTCTATCTAAGTCACCCTTCCGTTGGCTTTTTTTCAAAAATCCTTTCAAACTGCTGGTGGATTTGAACCCCCAGAGATGTGTGGCCTTTGGGTCAGCAGTGCAGCTTGCTATGGCCTACATCACCAGAGCTCCCGTGTTTAAGAATGGGTGAAATCAATACATTCTATAGATACAATTGTGTGTTGACTCGTACAATGCCTCTTGCACCCACAGAATGAGACTTAAGTTGACTTTACAAAAATCAGGTCAATTTAATAGCCTAATATTCTGCCCTACATATGCAGATAACTGAAACATGGTACACATTTTCTCTCTGTATCCATTTTACAAGTTAGTTTTACCCCTCTCAATGGCTTCGAGGTACGATTCTTTGTATTTTGTTACAGAGAGAAAATTGTTCCTTCTGGATCCAATTAAAATGTCCATAGAGGAAAAAAAAATGTCTAATTCTGGTAAAATACTTCATTTGTAAATGAAGGCATAACAAATATGGTGAGGTGCCTCAAAACGTCTTGATTTTTATAGCATAGAGAGAGAGATAGCCTCAAGGTCAGTTGTGAAAATTTTACATCTCAGTAGGCTAACAGCCCCCGAAAATATATATGTATATGTGTGTGTGATGTGTGCTATATTAAAGATAATAAAAATTTAAAACAACAGCTTAACTGCTGCCAAGTTGGAGTCATTAGTGGATTCGAACCATTGGAGAGGTGCCACCATTGAGTTAGTGCCATTGTCAAAAGACTATGTTACCAGAATGCCCTATATTAAGAACACTCATTGGTATGTGTTGAAGTAGCAGGCATCCCTAGAGACTTGGGAATTCCTGCAGGTAGTAACTGTCATTTCAAAGAACTGGAAATCACGTGGCTGTATTTTCTACAAATGCATTTACTTGTTTTTAGCATTTTTTCAATTGTAGTCCATTTTACAGAGCATACAGTGTTAAGAGGCACTTTTGGATTCATATTAATAAGAAAAAGTTCTTTCCCTTTTTATGTCTTGTAGCACACTGTCTAGCAACCTAGTGGACTATACTGTAATCAGATGTAGGTAATAGAAAAAAATCATTACAATATTCAAATATCAAGTCATCAGGGTTTTGGGCTTTGTTTTTACTGGTTTTGTTAATAGCAGTTAAGACTGTATGTAATTAAAAGGCTGCAGTTAGTCCATTCATTTTTCAATTATGCATGAATAATTGGACAGCTTCTCTAGGGAAACCGGGCTATCAAAAATAGATACAAGGGAAGCCCTCCAAACTTGGGGCAATAATGAACTATTTTTGCTGTAAGCTGTAAAGAGCAGGAAAGGGTCAGCAAAGAGCCCAGTGTCCTCCTGTGGTTTTTATGGTTTAGAAAAAGCCAAAGATGATTTTGGTTCTTCACTCAGGGCTGCCAAACTATTGGCCAACTTTATGAACAGTACATATGCTTTGCTGAAAGTTTGTTAGATTTGCAGTCACAAAATCCAAATTATTTTTTTTAAGAATAGTTACTTTTCCCTAAAACTCTTGGCTTTCATTAAGCTCAAAGAGTCACAAACTTGATCATCTTAATATAAATGGCTGAATGGCATCAAAATTGTACTAAGTCTGAAATGGATCCAGTGCCACCATGTTTAAGTGCTTGCCTGGGAATCCTCTTCAGATATCCTCTCTTTCATATTTTAGCAAGAAAGATGTTCCTTAAAATAAATATTAGACTAGAATCCCTGTCCTAGTCTATATTAAATTTTTATTGAGATTTGAACAATTATGGGATTCTGTGAAGCTGATACATGGCAACATAGGAATAGTCCAGCAAAGCATTTTTAGTTCCAAAGGCAGTACTTGAATAGTGAATGAAATTATTTACTCATGTTCAAGAATTCAAACTATGGGACATCCACAAAAAAGACATAAAGTATGTCTCAGATTATTTTATTATAGATCTGCATTTTGTCCCCAAGTACCCAGGCACACTGTGCTGCTCTTTTGTTCCATGCTGGGGAATTAATGCCAAGCCATGCCACATTATTATTAAAAGGTTATCCTGATCGTTAACCCTCATTTAGGAAGAGATCAAAGACAGATTCACAGATTACCCAAACCCATGCTATACAGGTGGGTCACATTAGGCTGTGGAGGAATTTGGAATAAAATGTGATTTTTCTTCTGAAGCTTTCTAACTCAAATGTTAATCGTGTACAGAAAGGTCAATTCAAGAGTTGATTTTTCAGCCCAAGGAAAAGCAGAGAGAAAATAGTCACCTCCACCAGAAACTGGGAAGTGAGCCAGTCACCTGAAACAGCCTGGAAATGAGAATTTCATGTGCTGGAAACGAGTGGTGAGGGTGCTGCTGGTGATAAGCATGGTAAAGTTAAAGGTGGTGGTTGGTGGTAGTAGTAGTAGTAGTAGTAGTAGTTGTTATTGTTGGTTGTGGTGCTGAAGGTGGTAAAAATGAGGAAGATAGTGGTGGTTTTGTGACTCCAGAGTGCTTTGTGGCTCGTGTGTGTCAGAAGTGAGAGGATGGCACAGGATTAGAGAGGGTACAGATCTGCTGTTCATAGGGTCGCTATGGGTCGTACACAACTCGATGGCACCTAACAATAGATGTGGTGGTTTTGAGGGTTGTCCAGTTCTTGGTGGTGGTGAGGGGTGATAGTGGAGTTGTATAGTTAGTGGTGGCTTTGTGGTAAGGAGCTGTGCTGCCAATCCAAAGGCGTCCAGTTCAAATCCACCAGTTGCTCTGTGGGAGAAAGGTGGACAGTCTCCTCTTACATGCAATTTCCTGCCTTTTGAACACCCACTGGAAGGCCATCTTTTAGTTGCTTCTGACTCAAGAATGCACAACAGTGGTGTTGAAGGTAGTGGAGTTAGTAGTGTGGAGAGAGATGATTGTGGTACTTACAATACTGTTGATTTGATAAGGACAAAACTTTTACCAACTTAAGTTGATTTACAGGATAAAACTTGAACTCATTGCTGTCGAGTTGGAAGCAACTCACAGCTGACATTGGGTTTCCAATGCTGTAAACTACATGGAAAGAAACTGCCCATCTTTCTCTTGAACTGCTGGTGGACTTGAACCGCCAGAGTTGCATGGCCTTTGGATTGCTCAAGTCCCTCTGCACTATGCCACCAGCGCTCCCTTATATTATTTAGTACTTGTCATACAAACAGGTTGTAAATAATCATCTAAAGCAAGGGGTAAAGACACATCCAATCAGTATCCCTGTTATGACAGAATCTTGTTTATGTGATATCCTTTAGCTATATGATATTTACATTGAGAAGCTGAGGGTAGTGTTTGACATTATTCCATTTCAACACCAGTAAGCTGACTCAGTGTTAAGCTGATACTAACAATGCGTGATGGCTTCATTAACAAGGCTTCGCTTCTGGAAATTGATAAAAATCCAACTCTGTCATGTACAACAGCTTCTGTGTTGTCTTCACCTAAAAATGGGAACAATTTCCCCAATGGCAAAGTGATGTTCGTAAAGCCTCTCTTTCTCTTTGTTTTTCAGGACACAATGTAGGAAGCCTTTTCCACATGGCAGATGATTTGAACAGAGCGATGGAGTCCTTAGTTTCAGTCATGACAGATGAAGATGGGGCAGAATAAATGTTTTACAGTTCCTGATTCCCGCATGGTTTTTATAATATTCATACAAAAAAAAGAGGATTAGACAGTAAGAGTTTACAAGAAAAAAAAATCTATATTTTTGTGAAGGGTAGTGGTACTATACTGTAGATTTCAGTAGTTTCTAAGTCTGTTATTGTTTTGTTAACAATGGCAGGTTTTACACGTCTATGCAATTGTACAAAAAAGTTATAAGAAAACTACATGTAAAATCTTGATAGCTAAATAACTTGCCATTTCTTTATATGGAACGCATTTTGGGTTGTTTAAAAAATTTATAACAGTTATAAAGAAAGATTGTAAACTAAAGTGTGCTTTATAAAAAAAAAAAGTTGTTTATAAAAACCCCTTAAAATGAACACACACACACACAAACTTTGAGGCAGTGCATCATTTTGCATTCTTTTAGCGTGATACCCATATGAAATACATGGTTTTTTCCCCTTTTCTTGCATATTTAAGATAGAACTTTCTTGAATATCACCAAATGACTATTTCACCTTGCTCTTTTTTGGGCTTGTCGATTGAGTGGGGCTGCTTGTGGGTTTTTTGGGGGTTTTTTTCCACTTTCTACAGCTATATGTCTATAAGTATATAAATACTATAGCTGTATAGATAAATAGATATCAGTTTCTATAAACCTTTTGAATTTCTTGTTCAAATGTTCCTGCCACTTCCTAAGGGGAAGAAACTGCCTCTAGTCATCCAGGCTTACCTGTTTGGTCTGGAATAAATTTGGCCTGGAGCTGGGAGGACACGACCACACTAGAACATTGACTAGGGCTCCAGATGTTTCTCATTTCAGCTTCCCAGTTACAACTAGTGAACTGACTTTTTATCCCCCCCCCCCCAAAGGGACATGCAACTGAACACAGAGGACTTATTAGATCAGTCATCCAATGACTGAGCTATTCAGCTTCCTGCTGCTGACAATGCCATGGTTTCAATTTAATGATGCTCCAATGGAAGTCAGAGCATCATCAGGCATTTTCACTCCCAGTCAGTGGAAGGACAATGGTAGGACTGCAGAGTTATGGACTCCCTACCACTTCCTACAGAAGAGCAGGCCACTCTTGGAAGATAAGGATTGGATGAATGTGCATAACCATACATAAGAGATCTTGATGGTTACTGCTGGAGTAATCTCACAGTCAAATGGCAGTGTGGTTTTGGTTTTGGTTTTGGTTTGGTTTGGTTGTGTTTTCGTAAAGTGTTGTTTGTTCCCCACCCCATCCCCACTGCAGTGACATTTTAAATACTGCAACACTTAATTTAAAATAACCCATGGGAAAAATGTGTAAGACAGTAGCCCCATCACACAGTGATACTGTTAAATATCAACACAGAAGCCCACAAACTGAATTTCTCTCCTCTGCTCTGCAAGAAGACTTGCACACAGTTTTGTAAGTGAGAAGGCAAACAATCTAGTCACATGTTCCAAAAGCTACTCTAAACCCTTTTGGATGGATCAGACAGGTTAAATATATACACGAACACAAATTGTTCCAAAAGGGGAGAAAAATGCCAGAGGAAAAGCTTAGAACTGGTAGGCAAAAGCTTTACTCTTTCATGTCGTTTTCTTGGTCTCTGATTTTGTCATTCATTCAAAAGATACCACCTTGTGACCTATCATTTTGCAAATCTGTTACCTCTTACATCAAGTGTAATTAACTTTTGGAGAGTGGGTTTTGTCCATTATTTTAGTAATGATAATTCACATCAAACACGGCTTCTCATGCTATTTCTACCTCACTTTGGTTTTGGGGTGTCCCTGACAATTGTGCACATCTGATTTCACAGCTTCATCACTCATCTAAGTGTGAACATTTTCCTCCATTTCTTTTTCCTTTCTCATTTCCAAAAGAAAACCCAAAGCTCTAAGGTAACAAATTACACAAAGACTTGGTTTTAGTCTTACTTTTTTTTTTCCTTTACTGACCTTTTTTCCTTTACCTGAGATTTTTTTTCCCTTTATTTTTTAACCAAGAGTTTTCTAAAGGGGTTGGTTACTTTATATCTGACTCCAGAGTTTAAGTTTCATTCTAAAATCAGAATTAAGTAGAGTGCATAATTTTATTTTAATCTTTTTGTTTTGTTTTAACTTTTAGTCATTAGTTCTGGAGTGAGTCTGTCAAAATGTTTGAATACAAGTTGAGAGCTTTATTGCTGCATTTTAAGCATAATTTGGACATTACTTTGTGTTCCTTATAGCCACCAAGTATTAAACTGTAAATCATAATCAATGTAACAGTGAAGCATAAACATCACATGGCATGTTATGTCATTTTTTTCAGGTACTGGGTTCTTACTTGAGTATCATAATATATTGTGTTTTAACACCAACACTGTAACATTTACTAATTATTTTTTTAAACTTCAGTTGTACTGCATTTTCACAACATATCAGACTTCACCAAATATATGCCTTACTATTGTATTATATTACTGCTTTACTGTGTATCTCAATAAAGCACGCAGTTATGTTACAAAAAAAGGTGATGACCTGCCTGCAATATTTGTCTCAGTTATTTTAAATAGGGAATATGCTCCTAGTAGTGGTGGTGGTGGCGGCGGGGTGGTGGTGGTATGTTGAGCTGGTTCTTACCCATCATGACCCTATGCACAACAGAAAACCCTGCCCGATCCTTCACCATTCTCAGTCTCTGCTGAGCTCAAATTTATTGCTGCAGACACTGGCAATCTATCTCCTTGGGATTCGTCCTCTTTTTCTGGCTGACCCTCGACCTTTTTCAAGCAGGAGGCCCTTCTCTAGGGACCGTTTCCTCCTGGTGGCATGCACTGTGTGAGACGAAGTAAATTCCTAAAAAGCAATGAATGAGTATTTAAAAAAATTTTTAAAAAACCAACCAAAAAAGTGAACTGAGGGAGGGAGAGGGGGTTAAAATGTGCAACAATGAATGAACAAAAATCTAACTTTTCTGTTACAAATCACAATTTAAAAATTTTCTTTAAAAAATACATTTATTTAAAAAGCTGCTTTTCTGTCCACTTTCCCTTCCATGTCATTTGCAGTGCCTATTGATGACAATTCCAACTTCCCGTGACCCTCTAGGGCAGAGGTTAGCAGCCTTCCAGGGTCCTTAAGGGTATGGAAGCAGTAAACTTCATCTTTCTCTTGTGGAGGAGCTAGTGAGTTGAACCACTGACCTTCTGACTGGTAGCTGAATAACATAACACCGCATCATGTGAGCTCCTTCACTTTATTTTTAAAAAACAAAACAAAAACACACAACCCAGCTCAAACCTAGTGCTTATCAACTCATGTCCAACTCATAGCTGCTACTCAGTCAGTTCTCATTGTGGATAGGAGTGTGCCCTACTCTTCTAAGGAGCAACTGGTGGATTTGGCTAGCAGTGCAATATCACCAGAGGCCCTTTTGGTGTATTTTATTATTACTATTATTTCATATGTATCCCCCCAACATCTATTCTTATAGAAACAATGACATAATAGATTTCCACTCTTGATTATAATGACAACAACATTCTATGCATGCAGTGAACACCTTGCTTTTTAGAACCTTAATGGACTTAGACTTTCAGTGTATTGAAAGTGTGGTTTTGTTTTCTTTTTCTAAATCTCAGTCACTCATTAGGTCGAACTGACTCACAGCTTGGTTTTTCCTCCCCTCATTGCAGTTGTTCAAAAGGGTACAAACCTGGGTTTCTGAGGTTGTAAATACTATGGGAGCAGACTGCCCATCTTTCTCCCTCAGAACTATGGATGGCGTTGAACCAGAAGTGCAACTTCCTACAGACTATGCCACCAGAGCTCACTAATCATCACAGAAGTGCTATGAAATTCCCAAAAGGAAAAGGACACATAGCAGACAAGTTGTCTACTAGTTCTTGCTAAAACAAAAGTAAGCAAATTATCATGACTGCTGCACAGAAAAAAAGAAAAAAGGTGTACCATCCTACAGATTCTTAAACCCTTTGATGGCTTTTAGGAATGTGTGCCAAAGATATATTTGTGCACAAGTTAAAGATTAAATTGAGAGGTGCATGGTATTGCTTCCAAGCCAAAAAAAAATTTTAAAAAATCAATCAAAATAGGTATGATATTCCAGTGTATTAGCTCTAGGCAAGGGCTCTCATATCATAATCCTTAACCCAAAGGTGACATTTCTTTGATGATTCATATCCATCAGCAGCTCTGGGGGAGAAAGATGAACAAACTCCTCCCCTGTGATTTACAGCCTCTGAAACCTGCTGAAGTCAAGCTACTCAAAGGCAACGAGTGAGAGTGAGTCTACTGTTAATAATCCTGTCACCCCCTTATAATAGAAGTGTGAGTGGCCAGAGAGTTTTCAGCAATGATACCTCAGATCTGGTTCTGAGGAGACTACATAGTGGTCACCACCACCAGAGGAAGACACCCTTGTCATTGGCCCTTTACCCTGTCCTGCCACCTGTGTCCTAGCTGGAAAAAGGAGCAGCCATGTCATCACCCTTAGGGCAAAGCCATCTTTCCTTTGTATCGTGGTGGAAAAATTCCAGCCCTAGTGACAGTCAGAACCCTCAGCAGGTTTTCTAAATCACATAGGAAGAGACTAAATCTCATTGGAAGAGACTGGCCATCTTTCTCCCATGGAGTAACAGGTGAAGTCGAACCATATACTTTTGGGTTGGTAGCACAGCTCCTTCCCACTAAGCCACCAACTGGATCAAGTTGTTGTGTACTCTTGAGTCGGAACCGACCCACAGCTAATTGCACGGGAGGAGATTGTCCATCCTTTTACAATAACTGGATCTGTTGTTGTTATGTGCCGTCGAGTCGTTTGCGACTCATAGCGACCCTATGCACAACAGCCCTAAACCCTGCTCTATCCTGCGCCAACCGCACTGCCTCTGATACACCCATCCCGATTACCCCAGTCACAGAATCAATCCATCTCATAGAGGGTCTTCCCCTCCTGTGCTGTCCCTCCACCCTCCCAAGGACCCGTCCCTCCTGGCAA